GAAACTTCTAGCATCTGGGAGAATGATAAAATTTGCACTTATATTCAGAAGGCTAATATGAGGTCGCATCACGGTCGATAAAAGCTACAAAATGGTTTAGCACCATAAAACAACAATAAATATCCTCTGCCAATTAATGCTAACATATTTTAATAAGGTCCTTGTTAAACTGCAGTTGCTAATTTCATAACTTTAAGGTAATCAAATGCTAATTTATAAGGGAATTTGGGCACTACTGTCGAAGGTTAATCATAGTGTTTTTAATGTGTGTTAGAGTTGAGCTAATAAAATCACCTTCCTAGTATAACAGTTTACTCAATTCTTTTATCTTATATAATGTTAACGAGTAATAGCGAAACCAGATTGTATTTTTACCTGGAGAATTTTCACGGCAAGTTTGTTTGAGTAAATGAGCTAGAAACAGGGCGGAAATAATCGAATCAACCTTTTACAACAAACTATTTATATTTTAAGGGATCTTTCTCATTAAGCTATTCCTATTTAAATCGAGTTGTCTCAATCGTCATCTTCAATGCCTCAGTATCTATTATTGGTGAGAGAAGCTTAGTATATGACTCTATATCAGGCGTCTTTACAGCTAAGGAGATTAGTCTCATTTCCCGAATTCATTTAAAATATCATATGTGAATCACCTCGCTATTCCTGTATTAGCTACTTTTATCATCGTAATCTGTAAATGCATATTATACCCAGTAAACTTACAAGTTTTGTTATGGGAATATGTATTTACAACTTATCAGAGATACAAGAATAAATAGCGACATTCAAGAAATCTATCGGTATTCTTATTACTATTAAAGTTAAAAGTAATGTCTTTATAGAAGATTATGGATAAGAAGATAAAATAAAGTTTCGTCAATCTGACCATATCAGCTGTATAGGCTATGACGTAAGGAACAGCATAGCAAGGTAAAGCAGGTGAAATTAAAAAATATATATTTTTTTATATGAAAATATAATACAAAAGAAATGTTTACTATTTTTATTATCTATATTCAAGCCCATTTTGGATACACTCTACCTGCTTGGCATACTCCTCACAAATTTGATCCTTTAAGTAGTTAGAGCAGGGTGGCTCTCGTATGCTGAAAATTGGAAAGCGGAGAGTCGAAAAGTCCCCACCATATGGCTGGACATTGAGTGAAGTCTGGTTACTGATCCTATTGACAAGAGACGCTATCAAAACAGAAGAAATTTCGGACTTTTTATTGCAATATCGGAGAATAGTTTCTATAATATGTAAGCGCCTTCTTATAGCTTGTCAGAAAAGGCTATAAAGCGATTCCATACAATGGCGTATAAAACGAGTATAGGCAACTTCTTTCTGCTTCCTAACATTTCAAAACTAGAGGTCTTTAATTATGCTCATAGGTTTCTAGTAGAAGGATTTCAAGTGCAAAAGCCCTCCTTCGTACCCTAAACCAGCCAACCATAACAATTATCTTTTCATTATCGATATAACGTTTGATCACTGTATCAGTTTCTTTATTAAAATAATAGACTTGGTACATGCGGATTTTATGCCAAGGATGACAAATTTCTGAAACATGGGAAGTTTATTTTTTCATATTCTGTCGAATTTCTCTATCCACTATGAAATCTTAACCATTTTTGTCGATATTTGCTTCAATTTTATTCCATCTTACCATTATCCAAAGAGATTGACCTCGTTTGCAGACTGCCATGTGCCATCTTCCTACGGAACTAATGAGGACTCTCAAAGGTGAGTCTTTATGTTTTGTTCAAGGTTCCGAAAATAAAAGTATTGCTCCATTTAAGCCAAAATAGAAAATCATACGTTTTTTTCCTGGATGAAATATCATAAAAATCCTTAACGAAACTAGCGGGCGAATTGTTTTTTATCCATCTTCAAAATACTGGGCATCATTTATGCGAAATTGCAGATATGAAGATCAAGATAATGTGGCCTTAGGTGTGGTCTCAGTCTCCTTTAGTTGTATAATATTGGCTTGAGCCCGTTTTCGCAACTTGTCCTTAACGACTGGGGGAATTCGCGGAACTTAATACATCCTGCGTGCCCCGCAATATTATTCATGATAATTTCCAACATCAGATCACTTATTTCGTACATCCCTAGACAACCTAGTCGGTATTATCAGTGAGAGGAATAGGAGATGATAATCCCTTGATATTTTGCAGTCATAGGCCATTATAAAAAGTATCACGAGAAACAGCATGCTTCATTTCAACTAAAACTAAACACCAATTGCCATCCAATATTTAGCGACAATCTAAAGCCTTCTAGGCAACTATTTGACCAATAAAATTATATGAAATTGCCTTACAATTTGATGATATTCAAGAGATGCATTGTATTCTCTTGCTTAGAGATCTGAGTAAAAATTGTAAGATTGAAGCAAATTGTCATCCGAGCTAATAAGATTTTAATAAATTGCGATTGAGTACAAATTAACGTATTAACTGGTTTATACAATGGACAACGGCACAAATTTAGTCGCTATTTAAGTGAATTTACAAAATATCCTCAAATATCTATTGTTCTTGGTATAGCAACTACCACGGTGATGATTATGCAAAACTCATTCTGGTTGGTCATATAATATAGCCCTATATACCTCGAGGCCCAATTGTTTTAGAGTCTTATCTAGACTCTTCAAAGTGCTTATTCTAACTGTCGCATCAGGTAAGCACGATCGCATAATCACATTTTCAACCAGAATAAGTAAAGGTACCATTAGGTTTGCAAACTCCACACGATCTCGCACAGTTGCTTGTCATGTAGACGTTTCCAGGTAGCAGACAATCACCACGCTCAGCAAACACAGCACATATAAGCCAGTCGGCTCTGTCTAAGCATTGGCCTCTTTGATAGGCGGCTAAGATGGCACGAGAATCACCATAGTCGACTAAATACAATTTTCCGCTATTAATGGGCTGCTTATAAGAACGCGAAGCCACCAAAGAATCTTGAGGCTCTGAAGCTGTGAGGTTCTTTCTCGACAATCGGAGTATGGGCTGAGACTCATCGGCAATAGCAAATGGGTATGAAGCATCCGGTTCGGTGAAGTTCTGTATATGGTCATCGTAGGTGATGATAACTCTAGTTCCGTTACCAAGACAGAGATCACAAGAGCGTCGGCAATTCAGCTTGGTCCATCGATCGAAATAGCAGTATCCCTCCCGAACGTACCTTGGACAAAGTTTGGCTTCTAGATCGCTACATTCTAGGAAAGAAAAAAGCAGTAAGCTGAAGTGATTTTTGAAACTTTTAGTAGCCTTATGAAAAAGCATAAATTATGCCTGCCAAAACTTGGAACTGGCGGTACCGAAGTTTACATTCATATAAGGTGGGTTTTAAATCTACCAGCATTTTGGGAATCCTCATTGGCTCTTTTCAACCGTTCTTATCGTCAGAAGGATCTATATATCGACGACAAAACGTTGAGAAGAGAGTAGATAATGTTGATATCCTACTGTACCCTGGTACCAACTAGTTTATGAATGCATATCTTCAGCTTGTGCAGCCTAGTGAATATAATTTGTCTTAAGATGGGGACTCGATAGTGTTTGGGCTTGCCAAATATTTTGCTCTAATTTCGTATGAGGTATCGTGTTTTCATGGGGTGTCTGAGAATAGAACTCCTGATTTGCTTTGACTCCATATAAAGTAGCCACTTATAAATATTGTTTTCGGTTAGGACACCAAATTTTATTTTATTTTATCAAACGTAGCAACATAAGCAATTGTATAATCTATTGGATTGGGCATAAGTTGGCAAATTCTACCTTGCGAAATTTGAAGATCTTACTAAAAACTGTAATGTATGTTGGGGATTTCGTTCTTAAATAAGACAGGCTAAGGTCTTTACTTAAGCTTGCCCTAAAAAAGCGTTTTTTATCCATACTTGTCCTCTTCTTCTTCGCGATGGGTTGATGGTAGCTATCAAGAACCCGTTTACTTCTCAATATACAACAATTTCTAATAGTGCTAATGGAACAAATATAAATGTGATTTATAATTCAATGGCAAAAAGGTAGTCAGCCAAGTACTAAAAACACTTAAATACAACTAAAAACATCACGGGAGTCTATTCATTCAAATATCTTCTCAAAAACGTTAATAAGGATAGGAAAATTTTTCAAATAAAGTAATGGTCGCTATTTATGTCGATGAAGCTAGGGTTATGCGAGTAAAAGGGCAACTTGATTACTTCCGACCATGCATGTCTGATGCTTTGTGATATAATGAAATGAGGTCGACATAAGAGTTTCAGAATGGAAAGATAACGGCCGGGCGTTGCCGGTTTAAACAGCACAGGGGATATGCAAGGGGATAAAAAATATGTAGGGTGGTAATAATATAGTGCAATGTGGTGAGCCAAATGAGAGGATATTTTATGAAGATTTAAGGACTCACATATTTGTCCTTGTGGGTTGAATTTTGCCAGAGGCCAAACTCAGTCCAGTTCACTATATAGAGCATAAATCTTTACATAAATTATTTGGCTAGATCTGGAATTTTCCTCGGTCGATGGAATGTTCAGTACACTTTAAGCTTGTGGAAATGTATCCAGGATGAAAAAACTCACTCTTCACTCATCGTGGTCGTTACCTTCAGTATGGCCACTTTTCGATTTGGCTCTTAGCTCATTTTCTATATCCATAAGGCTTTAAATTGGCACTGGCATTATGACAACTCTAGATACATCCTATTCATTCCTATTCAGATTGTGCCACTCATACATTCGCCTATTGTCAATTAAAACCATGAATCATATAATTAATTCTTTTACGCATCCGTTTGATTCCTTTTTTGAATAGGGCTCGAAGACTATCAGTAGATCATAATGGAAGCGTAAGTCACCCTAGGTCTCTTAAGGTGGTGAAGACTGATAACTGAATTTTCCCAGAATGAAATGAGTAGGCCTTACGATTAAATTTCGTCTGTCTCTGCTTTCCAAATGGTATTCTCATCCTGGCTGAACCGCCGTTTCAAACTTCCCTGGATTTCCTCAACACCTCCAACGGGAATCTAACCCAGGTTGTGCAGCCTATATTTTCATCATATTACCACTACGCCATACTGCAATGAGTTTCTAGTGGTTCACAGTGAATAAGAGAATTTAGAGGCATGGGAAGCAAAGCTAACCGAAATGCAATGTCATAGGGAGGCTTAATCTGTCAGTGAAGGGGAAAGTCACTATCAATTATTCATAACCTCATAATACAGAATGCTTAAAGAAGTGAGTTGACCTCGTTGTCGCAACTTGGTCTTGTTGTCAGGGAGAGAACAAGACCAAGTTGCGACAACGAGGTCAACCCACTTTTATAAATCAAAAGGAGACTGCGACCAGACCAGAGGCCACAACGTCTTGGTCTTCATATCTCAGAATGCCTGAAGCACTTATTTTTAAGATTTGAATGCAGGGATCCAGATTTAATCTTGTCTCTGTTGGGAAAATTGCAATTATGATACTTGCATACATATCATTTTATTCGAAAAGGCGAATAGAAGGGATTCGTAGATTGGTTGCATCGGTTACCGAAATAGGGTTGCCTTTAATCGTGCGAAGTAGACTTTGGCTCACCGTCCTACGACCCTGATGACTCCGTGCTGAGCTTTCGTCCGTTATTTGACGGACATCGTCCGAGCCAGAAACCATTATTCACGAGCAATCACCAAGACCACCAAACTTGGAAAGTTGGCTAGCTGAGACCCTACTTACTTCTTATCCCTTCGGTTGCAATTTTAATGAGGCATTCCATGATTTGACTAGCAGTTCTATGCTTGCCCTACATGCATGTAAGCGATTGAAAGTGATGCAGGAGAAGGAGCGGATGTGGTCACAACTTTTGTCTGTGAATAAAATAGCGTACGATCCGATTATCCTCGAACTTGTTGTAGCTTTGTAGATGCTTATTCGTTTGCGTTGGTTGGCAATTTGGGTTCAAAATTAAAGAGAGAAAAAGAGAGATAAGGAAAGGGAACAGGAAGATCCACTGAGTAATAGGAGCAGACTTAACTAAGCTGGAGTCTGTTTTTGGACCTAAAATTGTCAAACTACTCGTGGTCGTTGCATACACACACTAACACGCATCCAAGAGGCTCTAGCAAGACCAAAGACTACAAGAACATACGCTAGTTTATTTGCATAGACAAATGTCGTGACCACATCTGCTTCCCTAACTGCATCACTTTGGCCAGCTTACACGCATGCAGAGCAAGAATAAAACAGCCAACCAAATCATGGAATGCCTCATTAAGATCGCAAACTGAGGTATAAGAAATAAGTAGGATCTTAGCTGGACCTCTTTCGTGGTTTAATGTTTTGGGTAATTGTTCATGAATAATGGCTTCCAACTCCGGCGATGCTCATTACATTATTAGACAAAGGCTCAGGACGGAGTAATCAGGGATGTATGACGATGAGCCGAAGTTTTTTTCACACAATTCGGCAGACAAAAGTCAAAGACGGCTTTCTTTTGGTATCCGGTGAGGCTAAGCTACAAACCCCTTCCGTCCGCCTTCCCAAACAAAATGAAAGGTATGTAGTATTAATAAATTAAGGATTTTTGAAACCCAGCTTCTCTTCATATATTTCATTTCTACCGCATCTTGTTCAGTGAGCCATTCGAATCGCAAATTAATAAGCTATAGCCGCCATCAGTGACTCTCAACGCAATAAAGTTGGGCTGTTTCCCTTAATCTCGACAAGCAATTCTCGCAAGAAAATGAAACCCACTGACTCGTCCCTGAATAAGATCTAAATATTTCAGCCATTGATTGAACAATATCAGGCAAGGAGCCTACTACATTCGAAACCGAATACCCAAACGGAAATGAATAATATTAGTATATCACTAAATCTAACGATTGCCCAAACACAAGAATCGAAGGATAAAGAATTATCTTAAGATTCGACTAGCATACAAACTTAAGCTAGAGTCCCTTAAACATATAGAAGACTTCCGAACTATTAAGATCAATAATAAAACTGTAAATAGTTTTACTTATCTTCGATAAATTCAAAATCACATATTTCAAATCGTTTACTTTTTTAAATCCGCATTTGCTCTCTTAAGACAGTGCTGCTTAATCTATCATTTTACTCAATTTAAATTAAATTTAAAAATATATGAAGACCAAGATGTTGTGGCCTTTGAGATGGTCACAGTCTCCTTTCGATTTATATAAGTGGGTTTACCTCGTCGCAACTTTGTCTTGTTGTCAGGGCGATTATGTAGGACGCAGCTAGTTCGAAGTCGTCTGCCATAGTAGTTGTCATGATTCCCAGCATCCGACAGTGGACTTGGTATATTCTCAAACGTTTCGTCGGCATCTTAGTCGGTATCATCAGTAAGTGCTGCCATTATCCGCACCAAGCTACGAACTCGTCAAGTGACTCGTCAAAGTGTGTGCCCTTTTGTGGAAAATCTAGTGTGGCCTCATTACATTTACGATTAACCCCGACCCCTCTCTGTCTGTTGAGAATGTACCAAAGCCCCTGTCAGATGCTGAGAATCATGACAACTACTATGGCAGACGACTTCGGACTATGTGCGTCCTACATAGTCGTTCTGACAACAAGATCAAGTTGCAGCACGAGGTCAACCAACTTTTAAATATACAAAGTTAAGCTCAGCTTTAACATATACATATCTGTCTTCCATAGCTAATGATGATTCGAAATTTCCTGAAGGTTCCAGCATCCTTCTTGTGGCATACTGTCCTGGTAAGCATAAATATATATACCTCTTTAAATTATCCTCGTCTTGTATGAGACTGTACAGGCCCGCCTTGCTTAGAATCTCAACTATCATATAATCCAGTGTTGTTGAGGCATTGATGCAAGGATTAAAGTCTTTGCTTCTAGGCCCACGTGGCTATAATTCGAAGCCTATTGAAGAGATACTTAGTTTTTGGTGAGCACAGAATTTAAGTCCACACTGGAACAAAGACTTCCTTTTGAGAAAAGGTAATCTTAAATTCTTCATTGTAAGCAAGTAGCTTTTCAATTATCAGTGCATTAAAAACCGATCTATCCAAAACATTTCTTAAGCCTATGCAACTAGTCATCTTGGCTTATATCACCTAGCGACGGCGGTTCACTTATGCCGATCTCGCCATGTCTAAAGCAACGTCCGCAGCTTTTTCGGCATAATGTAATCGACATCTTGGTATCTTGTTTGCAACCACCGTTTGCACGGACGCGAGAGCAGAATACAGAGGCAGTAGGGTCATCGTAACACCGACGTTTGGCATAGGCTTAAGAGGCAAATAAGAAGAGCATAAAAAAGGCAAAGATAAGATAAGAATCGGCAGAAGGAAATAGGTAAAGTAACAAAGTCCAGGGTATGGAGTAGGTAACTGATGTAAAAACAAATGAAAGACAAGAGTAATTCAACATTAAACTGAAAATCTTTATGAGAGTACTTTGAACAATCCTTTGATTATCTTTACCGAGTTAACGGCCCCTGGTATCTCTGTTTACTTTAGTATGCTCTCTATTTATTTTTAATGTTATAACAACCTATAGCAATATTTTAGTAAGCAGAATTTTTGAGAGTATCACATTTTCCGTATCACTACCAGAAAGCATAAACGCAGCAGCCCAGGGTTTTATTAATGAACCATTGAATGCCAATTACAGCTGCCAAGCTGGGATTAACAAATCAGATGAACTAGACAGACAAGAAGACAATATTTTACAACATCCCTCAAGGAATACAACATAAAAGCAACTTATGTTGCTAGGTCGATATAATTTGCATTTTTTTTGTCATAATTTCTATTGCTAGATATATTGTAAGCTCTATCGTGTCCCTCCAAATATTTGCAATTTGATGAGAAAATATAATTATAAAAGGGTCACGGGTATATTATATCAAACATTCCTTTAAGAATTAGGAGAGACAAATGATAAAGAGAGAAGAAAATTGTTTAATTTTTTGCCCATTAAGTCTAGAATAAG